ATTTTAATTGCTGAACTGACATATCTCATCTGCTCAGGCCCATCCAGGACGCTGGTACACAGGCCGTATCCCAACACAGTTATTCTGAATATTATCCGTCTCCTTGCCATCCCCTCACTGAATCCTACTTCCTTGCTATAAGAAATATAAGCTAGTTTTTTTCACTCTCAGGAATCTCCATGGCCTACTGGAACCAGCTTTGTGGCCTCTCATATGACCGACCAATGGTAGATCGCTATTTCCAAGCAGTCCATTGTGGCACATTGCTCACTCATTGCATTCTCAAATAAGTCCATTTGTGCTTTGTGCTGTGAGCTCTTCATATACACCCGTCAGTGTACTTCCTTGATGTCTTCCAGTTCCCTGTTAGAAGTCTCATTTGTCTGCAAAAATCATTAAGGGTAGATTGCTGGCCCCTCTTGGCTCATTGTTTCCTTCTAAGCTGCTATCAGTCTGTTGTCCACCTTTCTCTCTTTTTTATAAGCCTTTGGGTGCAGGAAAGGGGAGCCAGGACTTTTTATATTGTATGTTTATAAAGCTCCAGACGTGACAGAATGACTAGAAATTCTAGGCTGTATTCATGAAACACATAATAAATGACAATGTGGTTCTGTAGAGCAAGTCAAACTTCCATACTAAATGCTCAGCTGTAATAAATGAGAGTTGCTCCTTCTAGGCAAATGCAATTCTGGTCCAAGGTGTTTGCCTTCTAAATTATTATTTTTAATATGGGTTCTGATGATAGCAGTTTAAATAAAGTTCTGAACTCATCTATTTTATTCTTAATTTATAGCGGTGCTTAGGGGATATGCAGATATTTAAAAAGAGTAAAATCAATTAACTCATGATCCAATTATTTATGTTAGCCACTATGGGGTTTTATTTTAGAGCACTGCATCAGCTTCTCCTAGTTAAGCACTGTGCTTTAGGAATGTAAATCTTTCATTCTGAAGTATGATGAAGCTGTTGTTATCTTCTCTGTTTACAGATCTAATTCCTATTTTTATCCTTACATAATTTTTAAATTCCCCGTTTTGCTTTTGTTTTTGAAAGCGGACCAGTATAAACAACATTTTTCTAGAGACCGGGCAGCCTATTCTTTGTCTGAAGGTAGCTAAACAGGCAGGAGAGCTCACCTTCTAGATAATACACGCTATATTTTTCTGGGCGTCTCTGTTTCACAGCAGGTATTTGTCTTTCACAATCGCGAATCTGTGATTTATTACACTTTTCAAGTTATAAATTTAGAGTATAGCCATATGACAGTTTCTCTGATTTGATCATTCTGCTTTTTCATCCGTCTTGAACAGATTTTAGTCTAACATTTCAGACAGCTCCAAATACCCCCTGTGCTGATATGGTTATTTCTAAAATGTGGAGAGCGCTGGGGTGAATGTACCATGACACCTAGTGACACTGCTCGTGCAGGTAGACATTGCTCCGTAGGTGGTGAAGCTCTGCAGTTTCATGCCCCCAGCAAGTCTCCGTGCCCTTTCTACCTTGCCAGCTCACTGCAACTGAAGCCACTGAGAGAATAATGAGAGAATAAGAGTGCAGAAAAGAGCCAACCCTGGCTAAGATATCCTTGAGTTGGAGGTTGTTAAATGACATTCAATAGTTTTTGGGCTAGCTGGCCACCTTTTCCATCATAGTCTGGCATCCTCGGTGGGGTGAGCATAATACATTTATCTCGTGGGCTCACAAATATGCACCTAAATAAAATGGTCAGATTTTTTAAATATTTAATAGGTCTTGCTGTTCCCAAGGTGATCCAGGGAGTATTGAACAGAATAAAATCTGACTAGTGGATTAAGAACACAGTTTTTCAGAAAGGCCAATATGAATCAGGAACAGAAGCCAGCCAAATCTGAGGGTTTGATTCTTAAGGATTAAGCTTCCTTCAAATCTGGTCACCTTTTTACATAGCTAAATGGGAATTGTTCGGTGCTGAATGCCTGTTGGGAAAAAATTCTGACCCTTACAGTTCTGATGTTTTGTTTTACACATACTCAAGCTGGGATAATGTGAAATAATATAAAATATCAATCAGGCTAATTGCTTGTTTTCAGTTAGAATAAGAAGTTTCCCAGTGCACTTTCCAGGGACAGCATTTTGCTGGGCAGGATGGAATACCATCTTGGTAATCATTCCTCTGTTATTTCCAAGATTCTTAATAGTGCATTTCTTTTGATCTGTTTCAAAGCAAGCTAAAATATTGTTATATCATTGTTTAAGGTTAATTAAACTGCAAATGAGTTTAGTGATCTGTCTGAACCAAAGCTCAGTAACAACCTGTTACATATTAACTATGAAAATTGAAAGCATCCTTAAATTCTTTGTTAAATATACCAAAGATGATAGAAATAGCCAATCAATAATGTTATCCTTTTATAAGATCAGGTTTGAGGCTAGAAAGCTTGAAAGGAGTGCACACACACAAATTCTGCAGCTAAATTGAAAAAGAGGTTTGGAAACATAAGTCAAATCTATTGGAAGAAACAAAAAAAAGGGTAGCTGAACGCAGAAGACCTAGTTGTCTCCTCTGTATTTTAATTTCAGGAAATATATTTTACCTACTAAGTGTCCAGATTATGAAATCTATATACTAGTAAAATACCATATTCTAGTGGCTATAATCTCACAAAATTGTATGCAGGGTTATGAATTAATGTAGTCTATAGGACAGAGCAAAAGACTTTAGGTCTTGAAGCCACTTGGGTGATTTTTGTCTCTGAGTGATATATATCAAGCAGCGTCACCGACAATGTAGCTTTTAGGCAGCGCACAAACAGCAAAGCCTATTTGTGTCATTAAAGTTTGTAATCTTGAACTTTTGAAGTCTCGATCCCCAGAAATGCTAAGATTTCATAATGATCTAAAGTGGTACTGCTGATGCTCAGCACTTCTCAGCATTAGGTATGTTATTGTTCTGGTTTATCCATCTATAAAGTAGGTATTATCTTATCACTCATGTATACAGTGCTTTTAGCGTGTCAACTGCAGGTACTTAAAAGGTGAAGAGTATTATTAAGTCTGACCCTTACAAGCTTTTCCAATGGTTTACTTAATGTTTTTCCTACACATCAATAAGAATAATGTTGATGTACGCTGTGTGGCTGGATAGTAAATTAGAGAAAATTTTCTCATACAGAGCCTGGCTTGCTGAATAGTACAGCAGTGCAGCAAACTTCACAAGGTCATAAAAAAATTCTCCTACTGAAAAGCGAAAGTAACCCTGACTCACAATTATGCAGACAAAGCAGTAGCATGAGCTCCAATTATTTTAGAGTCTCTTCAAGAGAAAAAAACAAAACAAAACAAAACAAAAAACAAGCAAAAAAAACCGGGTTGGGAACACCTCTTGTGAAAAATGTTTTGTTTATAGATGACAGTGAAGTGAACAATTAATATAGGTGGGGGAACTTTATAAAAAGTATATTCTGAAAGGCAAGGCTGGATTATTTATAAATAATAGAACATTACAGGGCACAAATGGGCTGTATTAATCAGCCTGCTCCGCTGCTTAGTTTTGAATGTAGTTCGGCTTCTAGTAGTATGTATGCATGCATAAGCAGCCGTGTCTGTATTGCGGGATGCACTTTCCCGGTAATATGAACTGAACCATCTTTTTGGGGTCAGAATCTTCCCAAGCTCGATTCCTCTCACCTTGCGGCATGGCTGCCATCTGGTAAGCAAAAAGGGAGAGAAGTAGTAATACGCTACCTGATATTTCATGAGTATTATATAGAGTCTATAACATTCAATTTGACTCAAGGATTACATCTTTCTCCTGCTGTGGTAAATAACTAATGCTGGTTTGAATGCTTCATGTACGTGTGCGGTTGTTGGATGAAAATGGTAACCATTCCATGTATGGTTTTTTTTTCTAGTTTCAAGCTACGGTAAAGGAGGGAGTCACCGGTGTGATAGTAAACTTAACTGTGGGAGACCGGGACGACCCTGTAACTGGAGCGTGGAGAGCTGTCTACACCATTATTAATGGAAATCCAGGGCAGAGTTTTGAAATCCATACCAATCCGCAGACTAACGAGGGAATGCTCTCTGTTGTCAAAGTAAGGACAATTTGCTATTGTTGTGTATTATTAGAGTAAGGCACATCCACTGCATTTACTGCATGAGGCGAAGCACAGCAAGGATAAGTTACTCAAAAATACACAGATGGCTAGCAGTCCGTGATTCCTTGGACCAACACATGTAACTCTTTTTCTGTTACAATAACTTTGCTTCCTTAGTGATAAGAAGCAAGACCTGCGCATTGCAAGCTATGTGGATATTGCCTTAGCTAAGCACTAGTTTTGTAGTAGGCATCACAGTTCATTAACGAAGAGATTTTGCAATATGTCTTTATTTGTGACTTAAGGTGCAGTTAGAACTCAAGGGCCCCATTTGCACGATGCAAATGCCAGGGAAGTAAGGGAATGCCAGGGAAGACTTCAGACTGAACTGGGGAGCCACCTTTGGTCCCGCATTTCTAAAGTTTCTGTCTTTGTATGAAGACAATCCTATATCTCATATTCTTAGGAGAAAAAAAAAAATGTCACAGAGCCTGGTTGCTGGCTGTACCAGAATTTTCTCTGTTCGACTTTAGAAGAGGTATTTTCCGTTCTTAAGTGGAAATGAGTATTTTTCCATGGCATTGCTTTTGATGTATAGCTAGGAATTGAGAAAACAGCCTTGTGTTACTTATCATTCATAGCTTTTAAGTATGACTTGACTCTGTTTGATAAATGCATATTACATCATAAATAAGCATATATTTATACATTTATATAAATAAGCATGTATTTATATTATATATGTGTTTATTTATGTGTTTATGTACATATGTATATGTATGCAAATACACATATGGGAGAGCGAGTGAGTATGTATGAGTTATGTGCCTACTACATACCATGAACTGCGTACTAAATAAATGAAAACACATTTCCCTCCGGTTCCTTCCATTCTTCAGTGTTTTTTAATGCACCTTGTATACCATCATGTTTAATGCTAAACTCTGATAAAGAGTCAAATGTAATAAATGCTGTTGTCCTTTCTGGGCTGATTCTGGCTCCTGCAAGCTTGCAATGAATGGGGTAGGAGGAAAGAAGTGTTAAGTATTCTCTTTGCACCTTGCATTCTGATTTTATGACATGTTTTGCAGCCTTTAGACTATGAAATTTCAGCATTCCACACGTTGCTGATCAAAGTAGAAAACGAAGACCCACTGATTCCAGACATAGCCTATGGCCCCAGTTCCACGGCAACGGTCCAGATCACTGTTGAGGATGTGAATGAAGGTCCTGTTTTCCACCCGAACCCAATGACAGTGACAAAACAAGAGAACATCCCTATAGGCAGTGTTGTGTTAACGGTAAATGCTACTGATCCAGATACTTTGCAGCATCAGACTATCAGGTGAGTGCAGTACTCTAATTTACGTCCGTCAAAAACTGAGCATGTCTTCTGTGCCGGAGAATTTGCCTGCCAGTACAGAATCAAATTAAAGTTGTTTGGGCTCTAGATAAAAAGAAGTGGCAATTTTTTCCAACAATGCAGAGATTCAGTATGAGGGAGACAAAGAACTGCACGAGATGGAGGACAGCGGTTTTCCAGGCTGTGGGATTGCTGCGGTAGAACAACTGAGTGCGGCAAACAACAGACATAGCTTACCGTACAGTGTTTCAAAATGACGTTTAACCTGCTTTTTTATTCCTCCCCCCACATGAGACCAAGAGAAAACATGTAAAAGTTGCAAACCTGCTGTAGAAACCACTTACCTGTTCGGCATATGGATTAAGTCGGTTTAGTATCATTTCTAACGTCCCCTAGAGAAATAATGATCGTCCATCTATATGCAAGGGCTAAAAGAGAGAAAATACTCCTCAGTGAAACGCTGGTGTTATTCAGTAAACTTAGAGTTGGCCTTGCCGATATCAGTACAAGAAAATGCTGATTTCTGTGCTACGATAATGTAATTCCACGAATTGCTGTACTATGAGGAGCAATTCTGCGTATTAAGTGGTGTCATTTTCTTATATTTAAAGAATGGAGAATCTATTACAAGGCTCTTTTGTGACCCGTGAGTGCTATTTTCCTAATCTAAATTTGCTGAGGCTGTGTAAGGGTGCTGGTTATGCCCTACTAGTATGATAATAAGGTAGTACTGCTTTCCAGAACATTACTGTGAAAAAAATAACGCTCTTTTGCCAATTCAAAGGTATATTACTTTTATTGGAGAAAGTGCTATCTGTATGTATAGTAAGTTGGACAAAAATTTAAAATTCACAGGTAAGTCGCATTTTATTTCCTATATTCTCATTTCAGTGTATCATTGGCCTACTAGAGGAAAAAAAATTAAACGTGTTCTAAGGAATTGGCTCACCTTTCCCTATAACTGATGTGGAAAATAGTTACAGATGATGCTAAGAGTTGCAGTGCTGAAAGAGGCATCGGCAAGTGCATTATGTAAGCTGTGGATTCCCATCATAAGCTAAATGCGATGTAGGACATTAAAGACATGGAAGAGGGCATGTGAGGGATGCCCCTCACAGCTGACAAGCAGCTATCTTCTGTGTCCCATAAACATTTCCAGTTACGGAGATTTCCGTTATTAAAAGTTTCTATTAGCCATTTTCTGCTTCCAAAAAGACCATAGAAAGATTCAGCACTTTCTTGTCTCTCTGGGCTAGTGTAGGCTGTGACCCACTGGGCAAGACCTTATCATCATGTGCCACTGCAAACACTGTCTTGTGTGAAATAGCCTTCATGTTTCATGAAGGTTTGGTAGTAATTTTTGATACACCTGGTCTTATCTTTTGGGTTGTTTTTTTTTTATTTTGGTTTAGGATTTTTTTTTCATGAAAGATCAATCACTTTCTTGTCTAATACTAAATTACCTTTACAGATAGAATTTTTTAGCGTTTGAGGACTGTTGTTTAGCCACTAAAGCTAAAATTTAAATCTACGCTTAGTTTTTTGATTCCTATTTGAGAGTCTAATTTCCCCTAGTTCTCAATGGATGTATATAAGGGCCTAAATATCTTTGTGAATATGACTTCAAAGCTTTGCCTGAACAGTGCACACTGTCAATCTGTACCACGGCAGTAGATTTCTGCACCGTCCCAGGGTTGTTTAGCAGTGATTGTGCACATTTGACACGTGTACTATTCTGCAGAAAAAGAATGCTACTGATCTTGAAGATGTTCTATGTCAGTAAGAGAAGTTGATAAGCATGCCATTGCAAAGGACTGCACTGACAGCCTTGGATTACAATGATGTGCAGTTGAATTTAAACAGGTGGCTGTGCTCATCTGCATCGGAGGAGGAAAAAGGCAAGGCAGATAATCAGAAGTTTGAATTCTCTGCATCGCCTCAAAAATAGCTAGTTAACAGAGTATGAATATTTCAGTTCACTATCAAGAATTCCTTTCAGCTTTACCATTTAAATATCAGTTTCTCTGAAGGATGGTTCTTAGCAGATGTCATTTCCCTTGTTTTATAAATGTATTTATTTACAGAATTCTTTTTTCATCCTTAATTTTGGTTTTTGCTCCAGGGATTTTTTTATTTCATCCACTGTTGTCATAGAGATTTGTGTTGATGGATGGACAAACTATGGAATTTTTATTGCATGTCAGATAACAGCAGTATGACCCTCAGCTGCATTATTCAGAACGCGGTTTATGTAGGAAAAAGATATTTATTCCATGTGGGATTGGGACTGAATTTAAGAAACATAAGTATTGAAGTTATTCGTAACTAAATATTTCCATGGAAGATAAGAAAAGTCTTATTAAGTATTTGTGATAGTAGATTTTGCAATGCTAAAAGGGAAATGTCAAGACAATACACAGATTTGCTTCTCAAAACCAACAATCTATAAGCTATTATCTACATTTCTCAGTTTGATCTACTGATTTTGCTGAATTTCTAGTGATTACATTGGAACAAAAATTTTAGGTAGTATCAGTGAACCACTGACAACTCTAAATTGGTTTTAAGTATTTTGTGTAACCAGCAAAATAACATCAACAATTTTGCAGTCCACCAGATCTCAAAGCTGGCTGCAAAGGAACTCTCAAAGCTAGAATATTACAGTCCTATCAGCTAAGCAGGAGTTTCCCAGAGCTCAAGGCTTAATGTGGGTCATATCTGCAGGGCCAAGACCTGGAGGATTTTTAGCCCCAAAACAAGATTCCCTTCTCTCGTGCTACATATGCAGAAAAGAAGAGCAGAACTGAGTTAGTTTGGATTGGAAATGAAGAGTGATCACATACAGAAATTATTTAAATGGCTGTATAAAGTTAGGAGGAAATAATGCAAATGTAATGGAAATCTGGAAAATAATGGAATGATTCAAGAAAGGCTGATTTGACTTTCTATATATCCTCCTTTTGCTAAAATAACAGGAAAGCATAATATATAAAATAGAATTTTAAAAGATGCTTTTAACACTGACAAGTATTATTGAAACATGTAGCAGTTAGTGGTTAAAAAAAAAAGCTTTACAGTGTATGAGAACAGCATCTGCAATTAGGATAGTGTAAAATTCATGTATAGAGGCCAAAGCTGCTCACCAATTGGTGTCTGGCAGAAATATTTTCTGTTAAATTTCTACGGGCAGGTGTGTGTTTATAGTCTGGCCTAGATCCAGGGCTTTTGCCAGTGGAGCTTTGCTGGTTGTGCTAGTTAAGGCTTTTGCTCAGGAATACCTGCCTTATGGAGATTACATATCAAACTCCATGCTTCTCAGGCTATACTCCTATAAATTATACCATGAGAGCGCTTACTGTGGTTACACTGATAAAATACAGGCCAAGCAAGCATAACATAGAGTTTTAAACAAGATATTACTCTAAATATCAATGACCATAAGCAATTAGTGCTTTGTTTCTGCCAGATGCAATGAATACCAGATTTTTATTACATGTGCTGTGTGAACAATGTCCATTATCCCCAACATGGTATATATCTGTTCAAAATGTACCAAAGGATGCAAACAACATCACATCAGAGAATTATTAATGTTACCTTCTTTATTTTCAGCCTATGACAACTGAGATATAAATCTATTTAACTGAAGGGATATTTTTGGTTAGTTTGCTATATAAACTTGTAGGAGGGGCTGATGACTATTTGTAATCAGGAAATTAAGTTACTCTACTAGATAGAGCGTCATAAATGCATTTCAAGAACTGTGAATATGGTGTATTGAAACCTTTTGAGCCATTGTCCAAATCTAGATTGAATTTATTCTTTGAACATTGCATGTCTGAATCAGATTCAAATTACTTATCTCTTTGAAAAATGTGGCTTACTTTGTAAAGATTCCTAAAGACAGCTGTACTTTTGAAGCAATTTTCTTTCTCATTCTTCAGCTTGAAATGTTTTTGCAGACCGAGAAAGAATTTCATTTAAAAGCTCAAACAAGCTGGCAAAAATGTATTACACTGAAAAAAAAAAATATGACTTCAAGTATTTGTGAGGCTCAAAAGCAGGTAACTTCAGGCCTAGCTATCGGTTTGCACATGATTAGCAGCGAGCTTGCGTGGTGTCAGCTCTGCTCTGATCTCGTAACGTTGACGTTTCAAAGAAGCTCAGCGTAGACCCGTCATCCTGGAAACAAGAACTGCATTCTCATATTGAGCGGCTAAATAATGTAGGCATCAAGTTTAATCTTACTCTAAATCATACCTGTTTCACATTAGATTAAGCCTGACTTTCACAGCTATACCCAAACCTGTAATTCCCTAGGAAAGGTCTGCAATGAGTATAGTGAGCTTTGGACTACGGACCTTCTGGAAAGGAAAGGGCAGACCGAATCAGTGGGTCTTCCTGAGTACGTAACTTTGTAGTGGAAAGTAGCGTTTGTTCCTCTGGGATCATGCCCAGAGAGAAAAGGAACCTGTTCAAGGGGGATCGCATGCTTTAGATTCACTGACCTATTTTTTAAAGTACTTAATTCCCTCTACAGTTTCCAACTTTTTTAGAAAAAAGAAATCCAGCAGGCCCCATATTAATTATAACCCAACAATTTATTAATAGAACAGTAATGAAGTTTCTGAAATTTGATTTCTTAATCAGGGATCATTGTTATTTTTGTGCCAGATTTAAGAGTTTAATTTTGGGTGCCTCTTCCCAACCTCTGAAATTTTAATCAGAAGTTTCAAGTGTACATGTCAATGAGAAGTTAAAGGCCAAATTTAATAACATTTTCTACCTTGGGAAATTAAAAGAAGAGCCTCACTCTCTGAAATCTATTATTAACAGTAGATCTTAATTAAACACAGTTACGGTCCTCAATATTTTGCCTGTGTGGAGACATTGGCTTAAGTATTTTTTCCTTTTTGAATTCAACAAGTCCAAGATATTCAATAGTCAGACTTTTAGCTACGTGTAAATAAGTTGTTTATGGC